TGGTGTACAGTCCTCTGGGCCGTTGTTGCGGTTGCCAAGGCCGTTGGATGCAGAAGTTGATGGCCTAGATTGGGGTGACGAAAACTCCCCTGTTTCGGCGGCAGAAGACTTAATGGTCGACGTCAACCCTGAAGTGTCTGAGCTCAGCTCTGGGCATACCTCATGCCGAACATGTGCGCGCGATGAGTTGTTGAGCCAGTCTGCAGACCATGACGCCATTAGGGAAGACTCACAGGTGTCTGAGTCTGAGAAACCGTCCGTCAGCGAGCCTCCTGCAAAAATGGCGCGTACCGTGGGTGATGTGTTTGCCGACAGCTTTGTACGGTTAGCGGACAGGGGCCTGTCTGATGTTGCGTTGCCTTGGGAGCTGCCTGCTGTGAGTGCAATCTTTGGTGAGTCCTCAGTGTCTTCAGAGCTTAAAATGCCACCCCTTTCTATGCGTGAAACAGAAGTCTGGACCCCCCAGTCGCTTCCGTGCAAGCCTTTCACTTCGTTCGATGAGCAACAGGAGTCGGTCGTGCCTGGGGACCTTGCGTCATCTGTTTTCAAAGTCCTTTCCGACGTTGATGTTGATGCCCAGCAAAGCAAAGCAGTGAGGCTTGCGGTTGATAAGTGGATCGTGATTATGCGGAGGAACCGCAAGATGCACCCTGAGTGCGAAGTCGATCCACAGGCGCTGGAAGCATGCATTGGGTCGAGGGCCGCAGGAACAGCCTCCAAGAGAGCAGGTAGCATCCTCACGTTCCTAAGGTGGTTTGATACCATTGTTGGTGCAAATCTCGATCCTTTCACTGATGACATGTTTTGGAGGTACATGCAATTCTTGGATGGTTCGCAGGCCCCACCGTCCAAAGCCTCATCCTTCTTGTCCGCCCTGCGCTTTGCTTACTTCGTGATGGATGTAAGAAACATCCCTTGCAAAATAAGCCGCAAGTGTGTTGGTGCGGCTGAGCGTATGTTGGCTAACCTTGGTGACCTCCAACAGGCACCCCCGCTCACTGTGGCACAAGTTCGTATCCTTCATTCCCTGTTGCATGGACACGATACATCGGATTGGGATCGAGCCTTTGCCGGATATTGTCTCCTATGCTTGTATGCACGTGCCAGACAATCGGACTTCCGTAAGGTGGCGTACGTGGATGTGGACGGTGAAGGCCGCGATGGCTATGTGGTAATCCGGGTTAAGCAGCATAAGACCGCAAGGGCAGCCAGAAGGGTCGCGCAGCTGCTACCAATCCTGATTCCGTTGCGTGGAATTGCGGATCATGAATGGTTTGAGACGTGCAAGTGTGCCTTTGAGAAGGTTGGTCTTCTGTTACATGGGCATGTTGGTGCTGCGCTCTTCCGCCCGCCCCTAGCCAATGGCGTGTTGGCTCGCAGAGCCATTACGGCAGGGGAGGTCTCAGCTTTCCTAAGGCTTGTGCTTAAGGATAAGGCGGTCTCTTCACACAGCTTGAAAAGAACGTGCATCTCTTGGGCCAGCAAGGCTGGTGCCAAGAAGGAGGTCCGTTCATGTTTGGGCAGACATGTCACGGCGGTGGAAGGAACTGAGGCTGTGTACTCCGTGGAGTTGAGCATGGGGCCCGTGAGGGAGCTGGAAACAGTCATGGATGCCATCAGACAGCTTGAGTTCTCTCCTGATGCACCTCGGGGACACATGTGGGCGTTCCCCCCGCAGCCACCTTCTGCAGATGGGCCAACACAAGGCAAGGGCTTGTTGCCGACTCAGGCATACCTTAGTGCCTCGTTAACACCTGCTATCAAGGTTGAAAGTTCCGATGAGGAGGAATCGTCTTCCTCCAATAGCTCGAGTGAGTCATCGGGCTCGAGTGAATCGCCGACATCACCCGACCCCGTGCGGGTCGATGATCGGGTACCTGTTCCAAGCGGGAACCCTGTACGAGGCACTGGAACATGGGTAAAACACTCCAGATCCGGAGTTCTTCACCATGCTTATGGCGACAACATCCTTGTGTGTGGGCGCCCACGCACGGCAATGTATGTCTTGCCTTCTGAGGAGGATCTTATGAATCCAGAGTGTCGCACTTGCAAACGCAACATGTGATGAGGTGTGGATGGGAGACGGATGTGTTCGTTTCCAATCGCTATGGCGAAGAAAAGAGATTGCTACATGGTAGCGACATGTGCCCAGGGGCTAATGTGAGGAAGCGAGAGCTGCAGTGTGTTGTTGCCGGCTAGATGTCGGTTTTTGAAGTCAAGGCAAGGACATGGTCCGGTATGAGCCTTGAGGCACATGGTGCCAATGCCTAGCCAATGGGCTTTATGGGCAATGAGGGAGGCCCAGGGGCCACACATTCAGCATGTGAGTGTTGGATTGTGCATGTGATGTTCCAAAAACCAGGCTCGCAGTTGTAGAATGCGGACATGTTCTTTGTAGTTCATTGAGTTGAGTGGTGTTCGTACGGAGTCTCCTACCACGTTGTGCATGTGATGTGATCAGGTGTGGCCTCTTTACTTGTGCAGCGTAGGCTCTCCGTGCCATGTCTTCCTTGATTGAGTCTGAGGCCCACTTCGTCCAGCGCGCCCGCGAGATCAAATGCCCTGATGATGTGCTAGCGGAGCTTCGTGTCGGTGGGTTCACCAGCCTGGGTCAATTGGCTTATGCAGTGGGTCAGCCTGGTCAGGTCATCCCTGAGTCAGCCTTCAATGCATTCTGTGCAGCTACCACACCTGGAGCCAATGCAGCGGGCAGGGCATGTGTGCGCCGCCTTGTCTTTGAAGCGCAGACGCTGGTTTTGGCTGACTTGCGCCTGCAAGTTTCTGACCCGGAAGGTACCTCCAGAAAAATGCCGGAGGCGGAAAGGGACCGGCGTCTGCAGCACCTGCGGGGTCGGCTTCCGGGCGTGCTCATTGAAGGCGGCATGGAACCTGGGCGATGTGTCTTAGAGGATTGTGTCAGGCAGGAGTCTGCCAATCAGTTGAAGTACCTCAGCCCTGATAGATGTGTATCGAGGATGCATGAAGTTACCCACTCCAAAGGCGCGTCCCGCCAGCTCGAACTTGAAAGCTCCAAGTTGGTGATCAAGGAAACGGATGACGCCATGAGTATGCCAACTCATAGTGCGTTGCAAGTCCAGGAGGCCCTTCGTCGCCGGGGTATTGCCTATGTGTTTGCTCAGAGCGTCACTTACACTGCCTATGAGAAGTACATCTCCCGGTTGTTCAGCAACCTTCATCGGGAACCCCCGCCAGGTTTTGCACGCTGCTCTGTTGCACAGTTGGTGGAAGCCGATCGGCAGGTGTTTGTCCGCATGATCGAACTGGGTATTCAACCGCGTGCAGCCACAGACGGAAGTTTCCCAATGGATGATGCGTTGACCTCAGCGCTTGAAAGCTACCACGTCTCCATGGCCTTGATGCCGCTTCCGCAGAAGCAGGGCAATGGAAACAAAGAGCGCCGTGAACTCCGTATCCCCAAGGAGATTCTCCAGAAAGGAGGCGTTGCTAACGCCCCTACGGGTGAGGCCCTCTGTTTTGACTACAACCTGCGTGGGGACAAGTGCAAGTGTTCCGCCTCCACATGTCCCCGCAAGCACCTGTGTTGCAAGTGTTTCCAACCGCATCCCATCCGGGATCACAAGGAGTGACGGTCAGTGCCAGAGGCGGGACTTGCTGCTTCAACGTCGGATGAGCCCGTGTTGCCAGCGGTTCCGCCACATGAGGAAACTGGAGCTGAGGCTCCCGCTGTGGTCAGTCAAGCTGTGCTCCATGTTGCGGCTGAGCCCCCGGTTTCCCATGCTCCTGAGCCAACCTCCCATGAGGCTCCCGCTGTAATCAGTCAAGCTGTGCACCATGTTGCGGCGGAGCCCCCGGTTTCCCATGTTCCTGAGCCAACCTCCCTGAATTCGTGTGCTTCTGTCAGTGACCCTGAGGAACTTGCTGAGCAACTTCTCCAGGGCAAACTCATTGATCCTCACTCTGTGCTCTCCCTGTGGGAGCTCCTTCCACATGAGGCGCCTCATAAGGCAGCGTCAGGAAGCTCATTCTTCACTGGACTGTACCGGAGAGGGGGTGTGCTGGGTCTTCGGGCCAATGTGGCCCGCTTCCCAAAAGTAGCGCAGGTCCTCTGTGCCTTCGTTCGGCAGCGCCGGCCGTCTGCGGTGTTCACTTCGCTTGCCATATTCTGTGACATTCCCACTGAGCCTCATCGTGACTCCCATAACGGCCCGTCTCCTAATCTTGTGTTTAAGCTTTCGGATTTCTCAGGGGGCGGTGTGTGGTGTGAGGGCCCCGGGCACGATGTCCGCCCTGTTCAAGGCTCTCCCGTTCAGGGTCGTGTGCTCAAGTTCGATGATGGTTGTCTCGAGCTGCCTGCTAAGGACCACTGGCATATGACTGAACCCTGGCAAGGCCGTCGCGTGGTCCTTGTGGCATATGCACTGCCTTATATGCCCTCAGTTAAGCTTGAGGTCCCCCAAGCCCTCCTCGAGCTTGGCTTCCCGTTGCCACCGGATTTCCTTCCAGCACTGGCGGATGTTCCTCCGCTCAGCAACCCCGCACCGGAGCCTACGCAAGAGCCTGAGCTGTCTTCCCGACCCGCGTTCATTATTGAGGTCTTTTCTGGCATGTCCAGGCTATCCGCCTGCCTTAAGCAACTTGGTTTTGACGCCATTGCCGTTGATCATAAGCGCGTCCCTGGCGCCGCCTGTCATGTTCATCTTGTCGACTTGTGTGCAACGGAAGGCGTTGAGTTGGTCCGACGTTGGCTGGCAATGCCCAACTGCGTGGGTATTTGGTTCGCTCCACCATGTGGGACGGCCAGCCGAGCAAGGGAGATCAAAGGGGTTCCAGGGCCCCCCCCTCTCCGATCGGAAAAGTTTCCGAACGGGCTGCCGCAGCTAAAGGGTCAATCCCTTCTCCGAGTCACCTTAGCAAACCAGCTTTACGAATGTGTTTCTGATTTGGTTCTTGAGGCTGCCTCCCGCAACCTTGTCATCGGTGTTGAGAACCCTCGGCAAAGTCTCTACTGGCGCACTTCCATGTTTGCACGCATCGCACACCTCCTTCAGTTCACTGCATTCCAGAGTTGCGCCTACGGCAGCCGTCGTCCGAAGTGGACGGCCATTGCGTATACCCGGGGTGCGTTTGACTGCATCTGCAAGTCCTGCCCTGGGCAGTCTTGCGCTCAACGTCACCTGCCGTGGGGGGTGGCGCCCGAGGCGCCTAACGGCTTCTCTACATCGTTGGAAGCTGCGTATCCGCTGCCACTGGCGCGTGCCCTCGCCCATGCGTTCTTCCAGGCTTGCCCGCCCAAGCCGCCCTCACCTGCCGGGCTCCAGTTATCTCTTGTCCGTGGCCAGGTCGGGAGTCAGCCAAAGGCCTCTGTGACGGGGCCCCGCGTGCCTGAGCATGCTCGCATTTTGCGAGTACGGGTCCCCCCTTCTGTCTCCTGTCCGGTGTCCCTGCGTGCCCGCCTTAAGGATCCCTGGCCCCTACCCCACGTGGCCGTCTGCCCCGAGCGCTCGGTGCCTGCCGACGCCCAGCTGCTGCAAATAGTCCCGGTTAAGCAGGGGAGTTCGAGCGCTGGTTCTGGAAACAAAGTTTGTGGTGCTGATGCGGAGCTCTGGAACGAGCTTGTTTGGGGTATCCCTTTCTCCCCGGAACAGTTTGTCCGCGAGGCGGTTAAAGCCGGCCATCCCAGAACCCTAGAGGTCTCCCTGCCTCAAGTCCTCAAAGATGCTGTGTGCACCCATGCCTCGTTGTCCGAGTCGGAGTTGTGCGGGTTGAGAGCGCGCCAGTTTGCTAAGTGGCTTAAGCTTGCGCAGGACCTCAGGAGCGAGGAAGAAGCGCTGAAGGCCTCTATGCATAAACAGGTCGCTACGATCCTAAAGCCCAAACGTCTCCTCTTGTGGAAGGCGATGATGGTTGAGGCTTCCTACGACGATGTGTCCATCTTCGATGAAGTAATCTCGGGTACTAACCTGGGAGGCCCGGTGCCCGATACAGGCGTGTTTGCCCCGAAGTTCAAGCCGGCGTCAGTCACCGTTGACCAACTCAAAAGAGATGCGCCCACCTCTAGGGCGGCTCTTTTGTCCACCATCAAGTCTCAAGGGGAGGCTCTGGATCGCGAGGTCCAGACGAAAACTCTCGAGGAGCGTGACAGGGGCTGGCTGTCAGGTCCCATAGAGGTGGATCAGCTGCCACCTGATGCCATAGTGTCACGACGGTTCGGGATCGAGCAGGATGGGAAAATCAGATTGATTGACGACTTCTCGGGGTCGGGAGTCAACAGCTCCGTGGAGACGTCGGAGACCGTGCGCCCCCAGACCGTCGACGTCATCGCAGGCTTGTGCCTGTCTCTGATGCGAGCGCAACCAGGGTGTAGTCTCAAGGGAAGGTTCTATGACCTGGTTAGTGCCTACAGGCAGCTGGCTTTGGACCCTGCAGGGGCCTGGGCTTCGTACATTGGGCTGTGGGATCCTGATCTGAAGAGGGTAGTGGTGTTTCAGCTGCACGCACTCCCTTTCGGGGCAGTCAAGTCAGTGTCGACTTTTCTGAGGACCGTTAACTCGGTATGGCACCTTGGCGCATTCTTCTTCGCCCTTTGCTGGTCCCACTACTTTGACGACTTCGTGTCGGTTGCTAGAGGCTCGCAGGTGGCTAATGTGCACCAAACAATCACCTTGCTCTTCGCCCTGTTGGGTTGGGACCTGGCCCAAGGTGGGAAAAAGGATGTGCCGTTTGCGGAAACCTTTTGTGCGTTAGGGGTTGACATAGTGCTGTCGAGCGCCCACTTGGGTCGTGTGACCATTTGCAACACGGAAAAGAGAGTTCAGCTCCTCGTAGAGACTATGAAGCAGGCCCAGAAAGACCGACGCATGAGTGCGCCTCAAGCACTCAAGCTAAGGGGTAAGCTCCAGTTTGCAAGTGGACAGCTGTTCGGGCGTCAAAGCAAGTTTTGCATGCAGCAGCTTTCTGATTACGCCCATGGGGGTGCCCCTCCTGATCTGCCGACGGAGTGCATTGATACTTTCACCTCGCTGGTCGACATGTTGGACAGTGGACGCCCTAGGCTAGTCCAAGTCAACAAACAGCAAACCTGGTATGTCTTCACTGATGCATCCTATTCGAAGGATGACCCCGTGCTGCCTTGTGGTGTTGGTGGTCTCTTGTTTGATGATAAGGGTGTGTTGGTTGCTGGTTTCTCCCACGCCCTTGACAGTGACGTCCGGAAGCTCCTGGGTGAGATCAACAAAGACACGATCATAATGGAGGCTGAGTTTGTTGCGGTGCTGCTTGCGTTCCGTCTTTGGGGCAAAAGGGTTGCGAACTCACCTGTTGTGGCTTTCATCGACAACAACTCCGTCAGGGACATTTTGATCTCATGCAGGGGCAGGTCCCCTACTGTGAAAAGCCTGCTTAAAATGTTCGTGAGCTTGGAGGTGGAGTGTGAGTTCATCCCTTGGTTCTCACGCGTTCCTTCCCCATCAAACTGTGCGGATCTCCCGTCGAAGCCCCCGGCTCAAGTCGTTTTCGTGTGCTCGTCTTAGGGGGTGAACGTGCCTCGAGGCCCCCAACAGGTTCTTCTTTCAACCGTGGCCCATTGACGTTTTAGCAGATCCTGAGCCATGGTTTCTTTCATACATGCTGGCATGCTTTGGATGGCTTTGCAGATTTTCATGTGGATTTCATGCAGTGGTGCAGTGCGACGTTGCATGTCTGTTGAAGGATCGAGAGATGCAAGGTCTTCTACTGATGAGCGGAGGGCCCAGCCTCAGCTTTACGAGGTCGCAACGGACCCCATCAACACCACTAGATGCCCCTTGTGGAGAACGCCAGAAGGTCTTCGTTATACACAGCCGCCACATTCTGCACCCTACGCGTATGAGGAACAGCGGGCTCCGCTTCCCCCTCCATTGCAGTCATGGGAACGTCTGGTCAGTGTGCTTCTGTCAGGTTCAGTTGAGTGCTCAGGACGGCAAGACAACCCCACAAGCTCATTGAATGCAGCAACCGACAATCTGCCTTCAGGATCGGCGGAGACTCACAGACCGCTCAGGCCGGTCGACGTCTACCGGGACCCAGGCAGACATGAACCAGATGGGGAGCTGCCCGCGTTGAAGCGTAGGCTCGCTGCTTGTGCACACAGTCTGACTAGAGTGCTCACCAAGGACAGCCAATACATAGTGGTAATGCAAGAGACATCTGAACAGGCAGAAATCCAACGACGTCGAGATGTGACTTCACCAGCTGTAACTGAGGACCGTAGTAGCCAGAGCAACGCTTGTCAGACACTCAGGCAACTGTCAAACATCATGCTGCAAAATTGCTCGCAGGCGGTTGATGCAGCAAGAGAAATTTACTGTCACCAATCCAGTCCTCGAGAATTGATGTGGCATTGCAGCAACAGCTTCGCTGCATATGCATTACCGGGAGTTTCCTGGCCCCAGCGCGTGAGCACGTGGAAGGCCAGATCATGCAGGCGGGAGCACACATTGAGCTGCATGCTTGGCATTGGTAATTTAACGAGCGCTGCTAGAGAACAGAATCCGCTTGCCCGAATTGCAACCTTGATGGCAGTAACTTCCTTTCAGACAGTTGCTCCAAGGCCGGCAACTGCAAAGTCCTCAGTCAGACTTGAACCCGCAAGCATGACAGGGCCTGCGCCAAAGGAGCTGACACGGTGCAGCACCCAGGCACCAGCTGCTTTCGCTCCTGCTTTTCACTCACGAGGGCAAGTGGTTTCCACTCCCAAACAGGTCAGGCACAGTGGGTCATCCAGCTGGTCACAAATAGTAATGCAGACCATTCAGGATGGGCTACGTAGATGGAAGCCCTTGACTAGCTCACATGCTGACATGTTATTCACTGCCTTGATGTGGCCTAGACTCAATTCCATCACTCGACGCACTGAGGTCAGGGCCACGGCCAACTGCCTACCGAGCGGCATCTCGCGGTCGAAGAAGGCGGATCATGTCTGCGAACATACCGAGTTGCAAACTGAAGACCACACGGCAAGACGTGACTGTTCTGTTCATTTAACCTGCGCAATGCATTGGCTCTGCACTCACTTCACAGGGATTGCGGACTCCGCGCCCTTTCGTAGACGGAGCACTCTTGGTCAGGGAAGCTTCTCAAGACTCATAATGTCGGAGGCACCATGTACACCATGCGTGACCTGTGGATGGCGCCCCTGCAGATGCACGTCGTTGGAGGGGGCCCTGCACAGCAGGCTACCTGGCGAATCCCACGAAAGGCAGACATCTGGAGGTTCTGGCGACTCCACTGCCAGCATGATGTGCATTTACTGTCTTGAGCAGCCGTGCGTCTGCATGCAAACAGCTGCAGTTCCGATTGTCGTGCCGAAGTCTACTCACACGGAGGGCGAAGATGACACAGCACACTTCCTGGAAGAGCCCATAGAAGTGGTGAATGCACAGGAAAGTGAAAGGGAAGGCGGACTCCGCACCCAAGATCACCAACCAGTGGAACATGATGCTTCTACCAAAAAGGTAAACACTACGTGGCTTCGCTTCCTTGACGTTGCACAGAATGATCAAGAAGCATCTCTCCTACGGGCCCTTCCTGAACCATCACTGGAAGTAAGTGACCTTGCGCGAGCGAGCTTCTTCCTTGAGCAGATACGCCAGCTCCCGGACCCCTTGAAATCAAGGCTGGTGAACAAGATAGAGGAGCAGCATTCGGATCTCCTACGAGAACCTCGGGGTGTAGATCTGGTCGCACGCTTTGATGCGCAGCGATTGGAGACGGCGACTATCGGGACAACGGCAGGACACGAGATGCCGATACCGACAACACCAGTGACAGGACCGGAGGGGAATGCGGCCTCCGCCCCTTTCACCACGGAAACAACAGACCTCGACGAGTTCTTAGCAGGTTTTGCTGGCGCTTCTGAGACTGAAGACAATAGTGCAAATCTGCAAGACATAGGCGGGCCATTGGCAGACAGTGGAGAGGCCTCTGGACAAATTGCGTCCACGCCGGATGTACAAAGTGAGGAATCTGATGGAGATGGGCCAAGGTGCTCCAACCGGCCGCCCACTCGAGCATATGAGAGTGCATGCGAGCGTACAGTCCTGATGTGCACGGCAGACAAGAGTGCTAGGGCATGCAACACGGGTGCTTATCGGGCTGCACGATATTCTGCGCAGGACACCCACTCGCAACACGAGAAGCGTGTTGCAACTGGGAAGGTGGACTCCACACCCAGCCGGACACTCAAACGCGAAGAGAGTTACCCAGTTTATGCGATTCATAGCAAACCCAATGCATGCGCCGACCGCCAACAGATCGATGCTGTGAATAAACAAGAACTAATATCTGATTACAATAGAGCATGCGTGAGTGCCTCTAAGATCGGATTGTTCACAAAAGATCACAGCTGTGCATGTGATTGTGCTGCAACGATATGGTATGCCATTAAAACATACACAACCCCACAGCCCATCAGAATGCACGCACGACCTCCACCTGCCCAGGCTGACACATCCACGAGACGGCGCAACGATCCCATCGACACTGGGAACGTGGTCTCCACACCCAGCAGGGCACTCAATTGCCTTGCGAAGCTGCTGGTTTGCATCCTTACGTACACACATGCAGAACAAGAGTTCAGCCATCGAATCGGAGCACACTTTGGCTCATGCCCATTCCTCCCCCCCACCATAAGACCAGCCCTGACGGAAGCACAAGCTCCTCGCCTTCCACTTCCTACACCTGACCTCGGCCTCCGTAATTACACTGAAGATTATGTGCAAGAGACTGAACTTGAGACAGGTCAGGACACCCACAGCGTCACCTTGAACTCTAATCACATAACTACACGGTTCCAGGGACCAGCACCGGGGATACTGGTTTTAACTCCTGCCAATGCGCCTGCCTGCAACATGGGACCCAGTCCGAGCTCAAAGAAGAAGTCATCTCGGCGTTTACCCACAAGACTACGCCAGTCGGGCGCTGCGCCCACAGGCAAACTACTTGCCCTCAGACAGGCCGCTGTGGCAAAGGCGCAGAAGAGGCAAAGGAGTACAGCGGACTCCGCACTCCACGAAACTACGCGTCAAGACGAACCTGGAGAAGAGCCATCAAGTAGTAGCCGAGTGCGCTTCCACCCGAAGAGACGTAAGAAGGCCAGCTCGGAAGACATGGTGGAGATGGACTACATCATAGAACTCTCTGAACCAGAAGAGGACACGGAGCAGGACACGGTGCCCATACCAGCGCACAATCGAAACCTGACAGCGGTCTCCGCTCAGGCAGCAAGCAGCCGTCGACACCGAGAAGATCCGCCACAGCCCGCCTCGGGCGAACGCCCAACCGCGAGCAAGCGGGGGGAACCGCCTAGACCACCGCTGGCGCGACGAAGAAAGACGGCCATATCGAAAGCACTCACGGACGTCCTGAGACACTCTGGAGCAAGGCATGGATTGGAGGTGAGAGCAGATGCACTCTTTGACCTCCGTGCCGTTCTGGACACGCACAAGCTTAAGGCGCTACATGCACAGGAACACGAAATCCTGCAAGTGGTCGAGGAGAGCGACAAGAAGAGATTTGAAGTGGTCCAGCGGGAAGGGGCAAAGTGGATCAGAGCGGCACAGGGCCACTCCATGGAAGGCATAGACAACTCCACCTTCCAAGTGCGAGTGCCCAGACGCCTGCTGCCACAGGAGCTGTATCACGGCACATACGATGATGCCTACAGCCAGATAGTCCAAAGTGGACTGTTGGCGGGTGGTCCAAGCCGCAAGCGAAATGACATACACCTCACGGAGGGGCTGCCGACTGATCGTCCTATCTCAGGAATGAGAAATACATGCAACATTGCACTCGCGATCCTACCGAAGGAGGCTGCGGCGGAGGGGTGCACGTTCTACAAGAGCGGCAACCAGGTCTATCTCACAAAGGGTATCGGCACACAAAAGGTCCTCCCAGCTCGTTTCATCCACGCCGTGATTATCCTGAAGAGCGGAGAGAGAATCTTGTCAAGAACCGCAGATGGGCCACCGAGCCTCAGGGATGTGCACGCGGGCCTATTGAGGGCCAACGAAGGCATGCGGGCTCCGCGCCGGAAAACCAAAGCAAGAGCTCTTTGCGCAGGGCGTGTCAGTAGGCATTCCTGAAAGCTTGGAGACATGATGCGCAGCCAAGCCACACTGCATACCCGACGCCCTAAACATGACTACTATGCATGTATGCTTTCCGCTGCCCAGGCCAACCGAGCAAAGATCAATGCCGGGAGCCTGATTCCACGGCACACTGCAACTGAGCCACGCTGCATCCCAGTGCACGGCGTTCATCTAAGCAAGTGGATAAGCCCGGCTAAGCTCTTATGCAAGGCCGCAATGCCTGAGACCACGACCAGTCTCCTCCTCTCGATGGTCGGGATCTCTGTCAGGGTCAGACGCAGTGCATGCCAGGAGAAATTGATGCATAAACATAAAGCTAACATTCCTGAAGGACCGCAGGACATAACATTGATCAAGCAAATACAGTACCTGAGTCGCCGCCACTGCTGTATCATACAAACCATGATACCTTCTCCTGAGACTGCCCTTGTCAGCCAGAGACAATCCACTTACCCCTACCGGCCCCACCCGACACATGAATGGACCTTACTTATAAATACCTCGATCCAAACTGCAATGCCGTCACCAAGCTCGCAGAAAAGATCAGCACGACGACTCCCAAGCCGGCTCCGAGAGACAGGTGCGGAACCTACGGGACACCTACAAACCTTGCGTGAGGAAGCAGTAGAACGAGCCAGAAGTCGACAAGCACAACAACAGGACGGAGGAGACGAACGTGACTGGTGGCATACCTGGAGTTGGTGGTCTCCACACTCTCAGGAATGGCAATGGCAGACCTCGGACGGTACCAGGGCAACAGATGGAGACGCACAGGGATGGGGGGTGAACGTCATGAATACGCAGGCCGCAACAAGACGAACACAGTCCATGGAGGGACTCCTCAACGAGCTGGCTACCGGCGTTGCGGCAAGTTTGAGAAGGAAAGAGGCCAAGCGGTCCACACCCACGCCAACGACGAGTGAGACCTCCAGGCTGGATCTACGGGAGACGACGCACCAGGAGGCTGAGCACCCAAGCTCTTCTTTCCAGACTGGAAGTGACAGTGCCTCCTCCAATGCTCCTGTTGGGGGGGTGCACTACCCTGCCTCCGGTAAGGTTAGTGGTCTCCACACCTCACCTGCGAGCACTTCAACATGCGGGTTGACACTCACTACCATCCAGAAGATTGAAGAACCTCCACTTGATCATGATTCTCCCGATACAGGGCCGATGAAGGCTCCAGCTGCCTCGAGCCGATGTTCCGATGAGCAGGAGACCAGACAACGGTCATCTGCTGCTAGGAGATCCAGCACCATAGAGCCACGGCCCGAGGAAAGAACACGATCGTCTGCAGCTCGGAGGGCCAGTACAATTGAGCCACGGCCCCATCTACTCCTGGTACAAGCGCCACTAGAGGTGAGAGAAGTCAAGCACCGTCTACTTAGGGACGCGAAATCGGCAGTGCTCAGGCTGATTCCGCATGGAGACGACCTCCATACTTTCCTCAACGGCTACTTCAGGCGGCACCGTGCAACGTACCACGCCAACCCGGTGAACATGCCCTCGTGTGGGAACTGGATATGGTCGCTTACTGCAGCATTGATGACAAGGCCGGAAAACCACCCCAACGTCTGGAGGCGTAGCCACGCGGGAAAGCTGGGCGACGCGGTAGAGGGATATCTGTACACGTTATACCAGAGCCAGACGGCGGGGAACCTTGCCCTGCTGGCCACCTATGGGGAGGCTGCAAAGTACCTCCACGACCTGATGCAAGGAATCCCGCACGCCATCTACTACCGCCTGAGCTGGAGGCAGTCACTTGACTCGCTCGCGGAGCTTCTCGAACCATGGATAGGAGCAGCGTCTACACAGGACATGCGGTCCTTGCACCCCGTCGTGACACTGGCGATACTCGACCGCAACGAATCCACAGCCGTGACAGTTGAGGCGGAAAACACAGGGCTGGACAAGCAGCAGACAATGAACAGGAGGGAGGAGAGACATGGACCTCATGGAAAAGATGGGAGTGGAGAAACACTCCCCATCGACCTCATAGAGGGGGCAAGCCCTTCTAACTCTGGTGAAGCTGGTGGTCTCCACACTTCACCCGTGGTCGGCCTGGTACCTGAGCCAATGCTCACAACCCTCAAAAAGCAGGCGGAGCCTCCACTTACTCTTGATCTCCTCGTTGCACCGCAGACACAGATGCCAGCTGCTTCGAGCCAGGGCCTTGGCGAGCAAGAGGCCAATCCGCGATCGACTGCAGCCAGGAGGTCCAATACCAATGAACCACGACCAGAGGCAAGACAACGATCGTCTGCTGCACGGAGGGCTAGTACAGTGGAACCACGGCCCCATCTACTCCTAGCACAAGCACCAGAGGAGGTACGACACGCTAAGCAGCGCCTACTTCAGGAAGCGAAATCTGCAGTGGTCAAGCTCATTCCGCATGGAGACGATCTCCACAACTTCCTCCACGGCTACTTCAGGCAGCATCATGCGACGTATCACACCAGCCCGATGAACATGCCCGCCTGCGGAAACTGGATTTGGTCGCTCACAGCGGCTTTGATGACAAGGCCGGAGAGCCACCCCAACGTCTGGACACGCAGGCAGGCGGGCAAGCTGGGTGACGCGGTTGAGGGCTATCTCTACACGTTGTACCAGAAACAGACGGTGGAGAGTCTTGCCCTGCTGGCCATCTACGGGGAGGCAGCGAGGCACCTCCATGACCTAATGCAAGGAATCCCACATGCTATTTACTACCGCCTAAGCTGGCGGCAGTCGCTCGACACGCTCGAAGAGCTCCTCGAGCCGTGGATAGGAGTGTCAGATGCACAGGACAAGCGGTCTCCGCGTCCTGCAGTGCCACTGTCAATTCTCGACAGCAAAAAAGGGCCATGCAATCAGCTTGCGACACAAACTGCTGCCTGTACACATGTCACATCAAATGCGCGCAGTTGTCTTGGTAGACGAGGTCGCAAATGGCGACTACGACCGACCGTCAGACGCAGACACCTACGAGGCAGGAGGCCCCGAAACTGCACTTCTCATCCATTCCAACAACTATTCAGGCTTGCCACAAAGGCGCAACACATTAGGAACCTCCTACAGCAACACACTAATAAGATCAGCAGCCTGAGTACAAGGCAATCGACGTCAGCAAAAAAGCCTAAACCAAGACGAAAAATACCTGAGAAGACGAGCACAACTACACCTGGACTGAGCTTGCCCGGTCCCAAGTCCGGGCTCTACGCACTCATTTGGATGACACACCGCATCGCACGCGTAGGGGGGGTGAGGGTTCCCGTCTCCCACGGGGCGGGGGGACCCACAACAACTGATCGCCACTTTCGCGCATCCCTGGTGGGGAAGCAAGTGGCTGGCGAAACAACGGCGCCGGTGTTCGGGGCCGCAGGTGTCACCACTCAGGTGGGACGAAAAAGAAGCTTTCAGAGAGCACAACACCAGAGTACACAGAATCCACTTGGCTACACTCGATATCGAGGGAGGTTTATGCATTGCAGTCAGTTGGGTCTCCACACTGCAACCATGCCCAGCCTAACGACGGCCAAACCACGTCGACCTCCTTGCAGACCACGAGGTGGGGCACAGCAACGTCTCAAGGTCCTGTCCATCAATGTTAACAGCCTAAGCGGGTTCCTTTGGGGTGAAGTCAAGGCGTTTCTTGGTGGAGAGGGCCTGCAGTATGACTTCATATTCCTACAGGAAACGCATCGCGCTGCCTTTTGCGCATTCAAGGTTGATAACTGGATGGCAGTTGGCTCCTCAACAAAACGGGGAGAGGGTGTGCTCACACTGGTTCATCCTCGTTACGATGCCTCCATGGTTCGTTACCAGGAGATAATCCCAGGCAGAGTTCTAAGAGTGAAGGTATGCCACAAAGAGGCAGCCATCGAAACACTTAACATATACCAACATGTTTGGATACACACGGATGATCCGGAACAAAACAAACAGAGGCGGCAAACCCTGCTCGATAAGTGCACTGCCACAATACAGGGCATGGCTAGAAGAGACACCCTGATTCTAGCGGGAGATTTTAACTCAGAGGTACACGCAGTAAACGGATTGATCGGGACACGCGTGACCCGCTCGGCCTATCACCAAGCCCTTGACCCACTCACACTTCCAAGATTCATACAAGACAACGCCCTGGTTGCTCTAAACACTTGGCATATGAAGGACCCATGCACCAACCACACCCGTACGGGCAACTCTCAGATTGACTATATCCTTGTGCGCGCACCAAGTGCTGACACCAGAGCGAAGCAAGTAGTCAAACAAGAGGCACCCTTTGGGGCGTGGAAAGAGCTCACACACTCGGCCCTCATTGCTGATGTCCGAATCATCAAGCACTTCCACTTGCCCAAGGCCAAAATGCAACAGGAACTACAATACTCGAGACATGACCTTGACTACGCGTATCGCCAGAAGGATCACCGAATCACACAATTAAAGAGTAAAGTGGAGTTGGAGATAAATCACAGCTTGAACCACGGCCTCCCACTGACTGCAGATCACATCAATCACACATTACTGCGTGAGGTCTCTGACCTCTTCCCAACAGCTACATCAGCACACACCAATCGAGGCCAAACCAAAGCACAGTGCAAGGCCATCTTTGCTGCGTGGAAAGAGCTGTTGACCCACCCTGACGAAGTAGGTGGCTCGACCATCACACTGCCTGCCCGCGTCTACCACATGTGGCAGAGACGTAGGGATCTTCAGCGATGCAAGCCATTCACCCTGTCAGGAGTGCTTCGCACATGGCAATGGGTGCTCCTCTTCAACAAGGCAGGACGGCAGAGCAAGCAATATCATCTCCAGCATCAACGGGCCATAGCACTGGGGCACTTACAGCAAGCTGAAAGGGCCGCTCAGACGCATAACACGAAGCGTCTCTATGGTGCAGTCAAGCGACTCCTGCCCTGGAAGCCCAAGCCCAGGATCATGCTTAAGCACCCGGATGGATCGCCCATGTCTCTGCACCAGGAACACCAAGCACTTGTCCAACACTGCAAACAACTCTTCGCACCCCCGGCGGCATCTCCCACTCGACCAGGCCAGATGCTTAGCATGCCTTTGACTGCCTGTGAATGGACGACACAGCTCAAATGTACTCCTATAGGCAAGGCCGTGCCTGCGGACTCCGCTCCGGCCACAGCGTGGAAGGCCTGCGCGACAATTGTGGCGCCAGCCATGGCCTGCATAGCCAAAGGACTTCAGCCAGTAACCTCTGCACTACCTGATGCATGGAAGAACCCTCAGTTGTGTTTCCTTCCCAAACCACATAAGCCTCCATCCACCGCAGCTGCTCTCAGACCTATAGGCCTACTCAGACCGGATGGCAAGGCGTTTGCAGGCCACATCAAAAATCAGCTACTGATGCAGGCCTGCTCCAGCCTTACTCACACTCCACAGTATGCATACCTTCCGGCACGGGACACGTCGGATGCGCTGGCAAGGGTCAACGCATGCATACATGACATCAAGGACGGTCTTAAGGCCTTGGGTGGGAATAGGTTCCTGACGAGACAGCGCAAAGAAACTGGACAGGTCAAAGGCGAATCAGGAGGGTGCCTCCTGTCAGTCGACCTCAGCCAAGCTTTTGATCGTGTCAACCGTGCAAAACTAGATAGAGCGTTGGCACTCCACCAGGTTGATGCTGACCTCAGATCTACCGTCACCGCCATCCACGAGCAGGCTGCGTACCAGGTCAGGGATAAATTTCACCGGACAGACATCTGCACGACGCAAGGAATTCGCCAGGGATGTCGACTAGCACCAGCCCTATGGGCCGTGCTGTCGTCTCAGTTACTCTGGGATCTTACTCCCGCTGGTCAAACGCCGCTGCAGCTTCCATTCACGCTGTTCGCCGATGACCATCTAGGCCATTGGCTTCTCAAAACGGTGGATGATGCCAAGCAAATGGAGGAGACGATAGTGGCACTTTTTCACATGTTGGAAACATACGGGCTCAAGGTTAATCCGGATAAATCCAGTTTGGTCATTCGGGTCCAGGGAGCGCAACTTGAAAAATTTGTCAAAAGCCGCACGGTTATAGTTCGCAACCAGGCGCATTGGAAACTACAAGATGGAGCACAAACACATCTCATACCGATGTGTGAATCCATCACTTACCTTGGCACCAAGCTCACACTGAAAGAGGGCACCGGCCATACACTTGACTTTAGGCTTGCTGAAGCTGAGGCGAAAGTTACGCAACTTCGCAAAAGCATCAGATCACGCAAGGGATTGTCCAGGCACTACAGAGTACGGGTTTGGCAGGCTTGCGTGGTAAACAGTGCGCTTTATGGTCTGCTGACTACTCCTTTCTCTGGCCAAATGATAACTAAGCTGAGGGCGTGGTTTCACCGCCAACTCAGAGCGGTCACAGGCATGCCAGCTCACCTCACAAAGGTGAGTAATCAGACGCTGAGAGAAACCTACAACCTGAAGGATCCTGTACACATGCTGACGGAACGCATTGCGCGCAAACTTGATGCTATGCAACAAGGACGAGGCGATCCTGCCACGTGCGAAACTAAGACCTTTGAGTATTGGCAAATGCTACACAAACAACTTGCCAGCCATGCTGTGGAACAACGCACTGTGACGCTGGTGGAACTCTCCAGCTCTAGCCAACATGCCTGCTCCATATGTGGCCTATACTACCCGACCCAAAAAGCCCTTAGGCAACACCAGGCGCTCAGACACGGACAGATTCAAGCCAACAAACTCAGTATTGACTACAAACCCGAACAACATTCTGTTGCGGGCATGCCACAATGCAAACACTGTCTTCTGAAGCTGTATGACTGGGGTGCATTAAAAGGGCACATCATGCAAAACGTGTGCGGTTGGCACACCAAACAGCTCAGCGACTCGAACAACAATAGCCAGCAGGATACGAAGGCTGTTAAAGAAACAGAGCCTGTTCCACACAAGGTCGACACCCCACATACCCCTGTTGACCCTAAAGAGCGGCAACACGAACCACGGAACACCACGACTGAGGAGAGCACGCTCCTGCAAAACGAAGCGACACTGGCATTGCTTCAAAGTCATGAGGGAATATGCGCCCAAGCAGCATTACACAAAACCTACCTCAAACAGCACTGCGGTTTCTGTGGCCGCTGGATCGCTGATGCCGGCATGATTAAAACGCATATCCAGAGAGTGCATACGAATCTTGCACGGCATATCACCTCAGACATACACACTTCATGCCAGGCCTTCAAGCACCTCTTCAAAAGGGACCATACATGTGAGTGGTGTGACAGAATGGTGCACGGCTCAGATCGGCATTGCTCTCAATGCCCAGTTCTTTTTCAGCTGATACTTGCAAGGACCAGCAGACAGGCGGCCTCCGCTTCAACTGAGACCCAGCTCCCTGCAGTATGGCCTGTACCACACCCAGGGATGGACGTTGCGATTTACCTCAAATCACCTACTCAAGATGAGATGCAACTGCACATACAGCACATGTCCATGCTTGCCAAGACACGATGTCTCCTATGCGGTGAACAGGTGCAAGACATCCAACACTGGCGACGACACATGGCGCAGCGGCATGACTCTCAGAAACAGCTTGTCCAGAGTTTAGCTCAATCCGAAACACTGCTACAAGCACACGTTGCGCGACCTTGCTGCTGGTGCAATGTCCACTTCCCAAAGTCTGCTCGAGAACACAGACGAAAGTGCCTCCCTTTGCTGCAGCTCTGCCTGTACCATGACCTCCACGTCAGTGGAGACCACGCCGGAGCAACAGATGGCGGCAGTGTGGGGCCTCAGCTCACCACTGGCGACGACGCCTACACCGCAGAGACAAGCGTCCGTCAGACACAGACTGCCGCAAGGGACGCCGCAAAAGTACCGAAAGGGCATGGGCAAGGGCGCAGGCAAGGCAGCTCCCAAGGCAAAACGGGATCGGGACCAGGAAGCAGAAGACGAGTTGATGATGGACCTGGAGTCGCTGGACGAGGAGACGGTAAGAACGGCCTTGAAAACCTTGGTCAAAACAGCACTCAGACACGAACACCAACTGACGATCTTGGAGGCAGACCGGAGCTACGTGTTCTTCCTGGACACGACGAACCACGGCATTGTCTCCATGTT